TTTCATAGATAATTTAATATAAACAATGCTTAACTTAAATAGATAATTTACATAGATAATTTAATATAAACAATGCTTAACTTACATAGATAATTTACATAGATAATTTACTATAAACAATGCTTAACTTAAATAGATAATTTACATTGATAATTTACTATAAACAATGCTTAACTTAAATAGATAATTTAATATAAACAATGCTTAACTTACATAGATAATTTACATTGATAATTTAATATAAACAATGCTTAACTTAAATAGATAATTTACATAGATAATTTAATATAAACAATGCTTAACTTACATAGATAATTAAGATAGATAATTTACATAGATAATTTAATATAAACAATGCTTAACTTACATAGATAATTTACATAGATAATTTAATATAAACAATGCTTAACTTACATAGATAATTTACATTGATAATTTAATATAAACAATGCTTAACTTAAATAGATAATTTACATAGATAATTTAATATAAACAATGCTTAACTTACATAGATAATTAAGATAGATAATTTACATAGATAATTTAATATAAACAATGCTTAACTTACATAGATAATTTACATAGATAATTTAATATAAACAATGCTTAACTTACATAGATAATTAAGATAGATAATTTACATAGATAATTTAATATAAACAATGCTTAACTTACATAGATAATTTACATAGATAATTTAATATAAACAATGCTTAACTTACATATATAATTTACATAGATAATTTAATATAAACAATTCTTAACTTACATAGATAATTTACATAGATAATTTAATATAAACAATGCTTAACTTACATAGATAATTTACATAGATAATTTAATATAAACAATGCTTAACTTACATAGATAATTTACATAGATAATTTAATATAAACAATGCTTAACTTACATAGATAATTTACATAGATAATTTAATATAAACAATGCTTAACTTACATAGATAATTTACATAGATAATTTAATATAAACAATGCTTAACTTACATAGATAATTTACATAGATAATTTAATATAAACAATGCTTAACTTACATAGATAATTTACATAGATAATTTACATAGATAATTTAACATAAACAAAGCTTAACTTACATAGATAATTTACATAGATAATTTACATAGATAATTTAACATAAACAATGCTTAACTTACATAGATCGTTCTTGTTCCCAGAACTCTGGATTGTCTGATATCCAAGGGTTGGTGGGGTCAGGGTTCGTTATAAAGGCATCATATTCTGCATATTGCTGATAGTATGCTATAAAACTACAATAAAATTAAACATTCTTTAGTTCAAGACTGAGAAATTTACTGTTAAAATGATAAAGAAATAAATATTATTACTATAAAACTATAAGACTTTAATACTATGACCAAGGTTAAAACCCACAACCACCATGTTTTTTATGTTACGAATCAAATTTCTTACCTTTCTGTAACTTTGGAAATTTTTACTCGTCTTTTTTCTAATTTTCTCCGTAAAGCGTAAATCTGGAATAATATTTCAATTTTGACTTCATTTATATATGATGATTATTAAGAATAAATATGTATGTTTAATCAACTATTTCTAGTTATTAGTCTGAATATATTAGTTAAATAAAATCAGTGAGAGGTTGAATATTCCTCATATATAAAAACTGTTCATCTTTCTAATAGTCATTTCAACCACCAGAGATTTGAGTTCTCTTACTTACTTCATTTTTAACTTGTTCCACATTATTATGAAGTTCTGCTTCTGAGACACTAGGACTAATTCTTCCCCCTGGTACAGCGTAATTTAACTGAAAAAATAATAATATAATACCTATCATATAATAACTCAAGTGATGCAATCATCTAATTCATGAGACAATAGAAAAACAGGGGGAAATGTAGAAATAGAAATTAAAGGTACAAACCCGTGACATTTTTGAATGTCGATTCATTCTACAGGCTTTCTTGATATCTACTTCTGTTGTATTCACACATCCAGGCTGAAATAATACATTTATCTTTCATTTATTTATCATTTATTTATCATTTATCAATCATTTATTTATCATTTATCTATCATTTATTTATCATTTATTTATCATTTATCTATCATTTATTTATCATTTATTTATCATTTATCAATAATTTATTTATCATTTATCTATCATTTATTGATGTGATGTTTTATATCCTACAGTGTAAAACCTTTATTTAGCTGATGAAGTGAAATTGAGTTTTATATCCTACAGTGTAAAAACTTTATTTAGCTGATGAAGTGAAATTGAGTTTTATATCCTACAGTGTAAAAACTTTATTTAGCTGATGAAGTGAAATTGAGTTTTATATCCTACAGTGTAAAACCTTTATTTAGCTGATGAAGTGAAATTGAGCTTTATATCCTACAGTGTAAAAACTTTATTTAGCTGATGAAGTGAAATTGAGTTTTATATCCTACAGTGTAAAACCTTTATTTAGCTGATGAAGTGAAATTGAGTTTTATATCCTACAGTGTAAAAACTTTATTTAGCTGATGAAGTGAAATTGAGTTTTATATCCTACAGTGTAAAAACTTTATTTAGCTGATGAAGTGAAATTGAGTTTTATATCCTACAGTGTAAAACCTTTATTTAGCTGATGAAGTGAAATTGAGTTTTATATCCTACAGTGTAAAAACTTTATTTAGCTGATGAAGTGAAATTGAGTTTTATATCCTACAGTGTAAAAACTTTATTTAGCTGATGAAGTGAAATTGAGTTTTATATCCTACAGTGTAAAACCTTTATTTAGCTGATGAAGTGAAATTGAGTTTTATATCCTACAGTGTAAAAACTTTATTTAGGTGATGAAGTGAAATTGAGCTTTATATCCTACAGTGTAAAACCTTTATTTAGCTGATGAAGTGAAATTGAGTTTTATATCCTACAGTGTAAAAACTTTATTTAGCTGATGAAGTGAAATTGAGTTTTATATCCTACAGTGTAAAAACTTTATTTAGCTGATGAAGTGAAATTGAGTTTTATATCCTACAGTGTAAAAACTTTATTTAGCTGATGAAGTGAAATTGAGTTTTATATCCTACAGTGTAAAACCTTTATTTAGCTGATGAAGTGAAATTGAGTTTTATATCCTACAGTGTAAAACCTTTATTTAGCTGATGAAGTGAAATTGAGTTTTATATCCTACAGTGTAAAAACTTTATTTAGCTGATGAAGTGAAATTGAGCTTTATATCCTACAGTGTAAACCCTTTATTTAGCTGATGAAGTGAAATTGAGCTTTATATCCTACAGTGTAAAACCT